AAAGTTAAAACAAAGCTATAAAAACACAGTTGAATAATCATAGAAATCTGGATATAAAATCTAATGGTAGGTCATTATCAATGAATTAACTATTTTTGTATGATAATGGTATTGTGGTTTTATAGGAGAATGTTCTTATGAGATTCATATTAAAGTATGTATAAGAAATCTATAGCATTTACAGAGTAGTCCAAGTGGATCAGTTAAAAAAATGTTTCTATATTAATAATACACACACACACACACACACACACACACACACACACATACTTTGTGTGTATCAAATGTTTGGAAGTAGATAACAAGCAACAGAGCCTGTAAGTAAAAGCAAATCCATACAGGCTGGAACTGTAGCTCAGTGTGGAAAACCGGCCTAGAATGTATCAGTTCCTAGGTCCAATCCTAGTACAAAAGGGAAGTATGGCAGAGAGAGAGGAAGGGAGAAAGCAAAGGAGGGAAGAAAACATGGTAAGTGTCCGAATATAGAGCATATAGGTATTCATAACTATATCTGTGTGTGGGATTTATCTTTTCAGTAAGTTAAAGATTTTCACAATAAGGCTGGCAAGACGGTTTCACAGGTAAAAGTTCTTGCTGCCAAAGTTCAATCCCTGGGACCCAAATAGTGGAAGGAAAGAACCAATTCCTCAAAGCCATCCTCTGACCTCCACATAACATTGTGGCACACATGCACAAACACACACACACACACACAAATAAATGGTTATTTATTAAAAAAAAATCTTCAAAATAAAATTGGGAAAGCAATGAGAAAAGTTACACAACTTTTACTTCCAAACAAGCTCACATAATATCTAGGTATAAAGTTGTTATATAATGTACTATTAGATTCTAAGCTACTTATCCACATAAACGGCACCTTGCTTGGAAGAGAAGCATATCTAATTTGAATCAACATAAAGCTATGTCATATTCTGCCCACCTCTAATCCTTTATGCCACTGAACAGAGGGGCTTTTCCAAAAGTATACATTTTATCCAGCCATATTGTGTTTCAAAAACTCAGCAGCACCCACCCATTGCTATTAGAATAAAATACAAATTCCATACTCTGGCATGTGAAACCCTCCCAATCTGACTGCATCTAACAATCCCCATCCATAGCTTGTGGCTAAGCCCCACTGAAGTACAAACAGGAGAAATGCTCAGTTCAGTCTGCCAATCTACACTCGCATAGCACCCTCTGATTAGCATGCCCATGTGCTTCCTTTTCTTGGTTAACTCTTCAGTTTTCAAGATCCAGTTTGGTATCAGTTTCTTCTAAGAGGTCTGATCTCAGACTACAGGGGGTGCCACTTTCATACTGCCAGAGAAAACTTCAATCAAGCTATTTATCACAATATATTATCACCATCTATAACCTCTGTAAGGACTGTTTTCTTCTTCAAGGGTCCCAGTAGATGGCATGTAACAGTATTTAATGATGTTAAATGAATTTGGTAATAAGCAGAAACATTAAAGATGAGGACTAGAAATAAATGTTAAACTTCCCACTCACCTGCAGATGGTGGAGTCTGAATAATATCTGAAAGGTTGTAACCTCCAGAACTATCTGAGCGCTTCCGTGGCTTCTTTTTAGCTTTTGTTTTTGCCTTCTTAAACATAGTTTCCCTAGGAAAACACATACATACGAGTTACTAATTGACTGAGAGTGAAAAAAGGGGAACTATATTTTTGTTGTTTTACTTTGTTTTTTAGACAGGGTCTCCCTGTAGTCCCAGCTGGCTTGGAACTTATTATGTAGACCAGGCTGGTCTTGATCTCATAGAGTTCTGTCTGCCTTTGCCTCTGGAGTGCTGGGATTAAAGGTATGCTCGATCACCCCTGGCTAGAATTATACATTTAATCATTAGAATAGAGTAGTCTGGTCAAACAGAAACCATGTAAGAACATGCAAACACTAGTCAGACATTCTACATAGAAACTGTCAAATTGTCAGCCAACCCATTTTGTTGAGGGATTCCAAGATGTCAATTTTTGTAGCTCATCATTGGAATCTGAATATGAAATGTCCACCACAGACTCAAGTATTGAAAATGGCCCCAGATGTAGTAAGGCTCGGAGGTAGGGTCACAGGAAAAGACTAGATGACGAGGAGTCTAAATATGTCAGAGTTAATCCACTGATGAGTTCACAGTTTAAATGGGGTTCAGAAGGGAGGTCCTAACTGGAGAAACAAGGTCATGGGAGCATCCCTCTGCAGACAGTATTTTGTGTCCTAGTACCTTTGTTCTCTCTCTATTTCCTGGCCACTGGGGTGAGTAGCACTGCTGGTCACACCCGCCCGGCTATGACCTTGTGTGTTGGGCCTTTTAAAGGCAATGGCTGCACATGGACAGAAACTTCTGAAATGGTGAGACACAATAACTCTTTTTTCCTTTAAGTTGTTTTCCTCAGATATTTTTCACAATACCCAAAAGCTGACCAGTACAGTGATCATCTATTGAAACAGTCAGGGTCTTCAGAGGACTCTCAACGCAGTATCTCGTCTGTGGCTGGTGCATGTTTCTCCGGAGCCTCTCTAGTCAAGCCTCCTCAGAAGACAAATCTGCAGTCTTCTACCACAATGGAGGTGGAACATTCACTTGGCTAAATGGAGTTCAGAAGTGGATCAGGGATCTAGCGCAGCCAAGCACTGAGGGCAGGCTCCATGAACCTGGTTCTACTAACTCCTAAGCACTGCCTAAACTGTGTCAAGTTTTTCTGTATTGTCATTACTATACAGTAGCAACTTTCCTACTTCCAAAGCTATTCCTATTTTCTATTATTGTTTGTTCCTTTCCTATTCTTGCTGCTCAAGTGCAACCTACCTTTTTAAGAGTCTTTACCATAACCTCAGAAGGTGTGAAGGATGGGTAAGATAAATGCGCTTAATTAACCATAATCAACCCGATATGTTATCTGAAGGCTATAGTATTTTTATACTCTATATTAAAATTTTAGACTTAAAAATATTATGTATAATTACTTTGTATTTTATCAAGTCTAAGAAGTATTCAAAGGAAATAGAAGGAAAAAAAAAGCAAGGAAACAGGTCTTACGAATAATTTTGCTCCACAGTTATTTCTTCTTTCAAAAAGACAGCTCCATCCTCTACTTCCAAACAGCTAAGATCTGGTCCATCTTGGTATGGTGTAATGATTCTTCTATCCATTGCTGGGATCTACGGAATTAATGATGTCACTTTTTAAACACAAAATTTGTACAAAGATTTAAAATATAGACAAAAAATACTATTCATTTCAGTTCATGTCATGTAGTAACATTAACTAGAAAAAGTCTAAAATGCCTAATGACTTCCTAACCCTACAATAGGGAAAGGAAAATTTGATTAGATTCATTAAAATGTACATTCCATAAAGTTATGAGAAAAAAAAAAAAAAAACTTGACAAATGTTCGGCTTTATTATCAAGTGTATATTGATCCACTTCTTAGGAGTCATGTGAATACATGATTCTGTACTGTCCTGACCTTTAGTAAATAAAACTGAAATATTAAGAAATTTTTCATTATAAATAAATTAAAAGAGATGCTAATTTTATTATTAAATATATTCAATTTTGATTTTTATGCCTATCTGTGAGATCTGAAAGGAATTTTATGTTCTAATTTCTTATTTCTAAAGATTTATTTTATATTTCTTTATGTGTATTTATGTGTGTGTTTATGTGTGCACACATGTGTGAATGCCTTCAGAGGCCAGAAGAGGATGTGATCCCCTGGAGCAGAGTTATAGGTGGTTGTGAGCTGCCCAACATGGATGCTGGGAATGAGAACTCAGATGCTCTGGAAAAGCAGTATGTACTTTTAACCATTGTGCCATCTCTCCAGTTGCCTGTGTTGTAATTTCTAAAAGTTTGTAATGCATTTGCATCCATTACAAAATTTTCCCATTGTCAAATCTGGTCTAAGATCCTGTTTTAAATGGTAATATCAGACCAATAAAATCTTTACTGAGAAAACATGTATCTTACCATTTTTCGGTAAAATATGGAAAGATCCTTCAAAACATCATCACTTAAAACATCAAGAGACCTGAAAAACAGGAAATAAAAGTCTATCAGGACTCAAATGACTTAGCAGCTATCAAGATTTTCACATATATATTTCAAATTCCTTAGTGAGCAACAAAGTTCTTTTTCAAGTTTACATATACTAGCTACTAAAATTCCTGTTGGAAATAGGTATGGTTATGTGTTACAGATTTAGACAAATATCTTGATAAAACTGAAGCAACTCTTAGGACCAGGAAATCTTCTACTGTAATAAAATACCAAGTACTTACTACCTAGCCTTAATCTTCCACAAATCATTATCCTTCACTGTAGAAGGGGCCCTATACTGATTGAACATTGGCCTAAGTACTAGGGTGTCCAGATCCTATCTAGAATTATCAATACTATCGCGACTCTGAGCAACTCACTTTACCTCTCTAGTGTTAGCATCTTCAGGTATAAAATGATGTTTGGGCTATAGCAGCTATATTCAGGATAAATTTCAAGTCTCTCCCAGGTTCCAAAAGGTACTTTAGGGAGCACTGAAAATTTAAATCAAAGTTTACATTCATATACATGTGTGTATGAGTTTATGCAGACATTCACATATGTATAGTTGTTGATCACAGTACATACATTCACATATAGTTTAAATGTGCGTGTATATTCATATACATGTACTTGTGGTTTATAAAAATGATTTCCACAACTAGTACAAAGCAACTTGCATACTCAAATCTATTTGTATTGTTTTCAACACTTATAGGGTAAATGAATGCATTAATTTATAATGCTACGCAAATTTTAATACAGACCTCTGTTTTTTCATATTCCTACACAGACTGTTCATACTTGCAGTGAAAACATACCAGATTGAGAACAGTTAAGTTCCATACAAAGTTACGTATGTTTACACACAAAATTACAGAGGTATCACTGTAGCAGTCAGTCACAGGACACATCTGTCTCAGGATAATAGCTGAACAATGGAATACATCATTTTCCATTATAATATCTCAGAAAGAGTTGATATTTATTTTATTCTTTGGTTGCCTCTTATCTGGCAAACTAAGTAAAATCTGATAATAAAGAATTAAACCTACTTACAATAGACTCACTAAAGTAATGCCAGAAATAAAATTAAATCCAGACGTAACCAGGTTCTGACTTTCAAATAGCAAATGAATTTTATAATATCTAACAAATTTTTATTTCAATTCGCATTATAAAATATTTTTCACAAAATGATAAAGCTTAAATGGCAAAAGAAGTTTCTGAAGATTAAGTCCTACTTGGCAATCATTAAGAATGTTAGTGATTCAGGAGGGATAGCTAGAGAGATGGCTCAGCAGTTAAGAGCAGCAGCTGCTCTTGCAGAGGACCTGGGTCCAATTCCTAGCACCCACATGGCAGCTATCATCTGTAACTCCAGTTCCAGGGGATTCAATGCGCTTTTCTGACCTCTCAAATTATTATACAACACAGATGCACTTATATACATGCAGACAATACAATTATACACATAAAATAAAAATGATAAAATATTAAAGAAAACTTAATTATTCATCTAAAAAAACAGCATATCATTTTATTTCAATATTTTAGAATAAAAATTATACCAAATTTGAAAGGTGAATTGTTAAGCTGTTACTTGTAATGATCAAGAGTTTCTCAGTTCCTGTCTCCCAAATTATAAAGACAAGTTTCCTAAGTCTTCTAATAAAAGGATATTTAAGAAAACAAATAAGGCTTACATGAAAATTAAATTAATTAATATATGTAACATTTTTGGAATAATACCTCACACATGCTAAGCACTAATTATTGTAACTACTGTAACAAAATACAAAACTAAGTGTATAGTAAGCAGTATTATCTATTATTATTACTCTAAAACAAAATACAGAAACACTAGAAAATACAAAAACACTAAAAGATAAAGCCTCAAAATACAAATTGACAGCAAGGATTCTAATCTCAAGTACCTGCACTCACAAATGCAGTCTCATTTTTCTTACTATTGACTTTACAGTGAGAAATAATAAAGCTTAAATGGCAATTTGATCTTATTTTTTTAAGTATAAAATTTTTCATTAAAAAAGTCATTCCTAGTCAGGAATGATGGTACACATGTATAATCCTAAGGCTTAATACTGTGAAGTCATGGGCTGGAGAGATGGCTCAGGGATTAAGCACATTGGCTGTTCTTGAAAAGAACCCAGGTTCAGTTTTTAGTACACACATGGTGGCTAATAACCATCTCTAACTCTAATTCCAGGCAATCCAACAACACCCTCTTCTGGTCTCTGTGGGCACTGCTCTCATGGTACACTTTTATACATGCAGGCAAAACATTCATACACAAATACTAAAAATTAACTAATTAATTAATTAAAAAGAATGTGAAGCCGGCCCGGGCCATTAAGACACCATTCTCAGTAAAAAAGAATTTTTTAAATCATTTCTAAAACTAGTTGAAGTTTCCAAGGTACCTCTAATTCTAAAGGCTCTGATTCTAGCATTTATCAAATTCTTTCATCCAGGTAAACATGAATTATTCATTTTTAACTACTAGTGCATCTTCTATACACAAATGTCTGTTTTCAAAAGTAATAGCATAGGTACCCAACCAACCTTGCTTCAAGTAAAGCTGCCATATTCAGTCCTATAAACTGTAAACAAGACAGTTTCAACTGTTCAGCATTGTACATTGCTGCAAATTCCAGTAGCATAGCAGCATTCTTAAGGGTAACTAAGGAGAAAGTGGATTTGCAAAATTAGATGAAAGGCATGTTACTACAATACATGAAATACATGACTAAAGTACTAAGATTTCAACATTTAAACAAGAAAACAAACTATTCTCTTAACAAAAAACAAATAATACTGGGGCAAATATAGAAATGATTTTCCATCACAGTATGCCAAAGTAATTTTAACAGACTGATTTTTGAGGGGGAAAAATTCAGCTCACACACACAAAAATTTTAATGAAAACGAAATACAGAAAGGGTATTAGTGTCACTAATTTTAAAGCAAATGCTGAAGAAAAATTACTTTCTTCCTCCCAACATCCTTTGACTATTTCTAACTTTTACCAGTGAACAACTTTCCTTTTCATTTATACAGTACAGAGCAGGTAATCCTTTTTAAAACTATAAACACAAGTAAATGAAGTGGTATACTGTAATCCTATAACTTGAGAGGTTGACGTAGGACTTCCATGAGTTTGAGACCAGCATGGTTTATATAGCAAGATTTTGTCTCAAAACAAGTAAATAATATCAATAACAAATTAAAACAGATACTAAATTTAAGAGAAACTGCTATATTAATTCTATAAAAAGATTCATCATCTATCTGTCTATATGGGAATAAAATCTATATATGAAAATATATCTAAATTTTAGTAATTATTATGTATGCTAGAGCAGAATCTGATACACTGTATAAGAGTCAAGGTTTAGTAACAAGTCTAGTAATTTTATATGTCAAGTACTGTTTGGCTAGAAACCCTCCAAGAATAGTCCATCTGCATGTAACAGCTTCCTAAAGCTCTTTCTTATGCTGAGTTCCTGCCATTAGGAACACAGCTCATTTATAGATCTGTCTTCTTCCATTTCTTTTTTCTTTCTCCCCTAGACTTTGTCAAAAGCTGCAACTACAGTCAATAGCCGTGACTAATCTAAAATTTTTGACTGATAATGCAAACATCTCACAGAACTAATGAAACGAGATCACACAGAATTGTCTAGTTAGGGGGGCCTGAAAGACGACTCAGTGGTTAAGAGCAATGGCTGCTCTTGCAGAGGACCAGAGTTCAATTCCCAGCATCCCCATGGCAGCTAATAGTCTCTAACTCCAGTTCTGGGAGGTCTGATGCCCTCTTCTGGCCTCCATGGGCACTGCATGACACAGGTGCACTTACATACTTGCAGGCAATACACACAAAATAATAAATAAAATATTTTTTAAGAAGAATTGTCCAGTTAGGAACGATATGCATCAATACACTATAGTAAGAAAACAGGATTCTTCAGAGCCCTTCTGCTAGGCATTTATCTATCAGTAAAGGTGACAGTGCAGCAGGGACCACAGAAGACTATCACAGGAGGCCAGGAGAGTCCACTAACCAGTAGGAATATCACCGACCTACACGTATACTGCATACCTAGTCTGTGCTGAGTCCCTTACTGTAATATGTTTCTTTTCTTGTTTATTGAAAGAAAATCAAGGCTGTTGCTTTCTTTTTGTTAACTAAAAAGATGGGCCACAGCACTCAAAAACACAAAAGAGTTATGGAAGCATCTATCAAAATCAGAAATATTCGACAGGCACTTCTTCCATATTTCCTACAGCACCAACAGAGCAAAACAAATATAAAGTTGAAAAGCAAAAAAACTTGCACAGAGGACTAAGAAATGCAACTTTCATACCAAAACAAACAATTCTAAGCCTCTGGTGGGGAAAGACAGAGGGAGAAGGTACACAAAGGCCACCATGACACCGTCCAAAAGTCCAGTAACAGAGTGTCAGAAGGTGAAAAAGGTGAGCAACACAGTGAAGGGGAGCAATTCTGACAGACTGAAGGGTTAAGACATAAAAGTCAATTAACAAGTAAAAATCAACTTTTATTTCTAAGTTGAATGTTTAGGAAAATAGCTAAATAAGTAAAATAACAAACAGCAAATGATTAGAAAACAGATGAGATTTGTTAGCAGAATTACGTAAAATTCCCAGCAAATAGTAGAAAATGGATAGGTAAAAACAGGGATGCAATCAAGACCAGAGCAAGGATAAAAAATCCTACTTTCACACGTTCACTACTGAAATTCCCTAGCAAATTTGATGGCATATTCATTCTTCATGGTTTTATTGCATTGCAATAAAAATATTCTTTAAATCTAGGATGTACATATTTTCACTTAGCTCTGAGTTAAGAATGTATGAATGTCTTAATTTTTTTTAAAGGTACCCAAAAATGATATGTTTCACAATATTGTTATTATAATAATGTCAATGACTTAGTAACATTAGATCAATCTGAAAAAAACAATAATACTAATTTAAAATTACTCACGTTTTTCAGTTAATGCCACTTCACAAATCTCCTTTAATCGAGTTATCAGAAGCTGATCAGCCACTACAAGAACACTACAAATAAAATCCACATTTTGAGATTCTAACAAGAGAAAAGGAGAAGAAAAGGTATTATTCTGTAACCAATATAACTAATAAAGGAATTAAGAAATTATGGAAAAGAGAATTATTTTTTCTACATTTTGGAATGGCAACTACGACAAATCAAAAATACATCAAAATATTCTTGTCTTTTAGTTGGACAACTGCAAAAAACTATACCAAATGCCTTGGTGTCTTAATTTCTTTTCCTACTGCTGTGAGAAAATGCCCTGGTGAAGCAACTAAAAGGAGAAGGGTTGTCCTGGCTCCTATTCCAAGTACAGTCATCCAGCAGGGAAGCAAGGCATCAGGAGCTTCCAGTGTCTGGTCATACCAGGACCAAAGACAAAGAGTGCAGTGACTGCATGCTGCTGGCCTGTCCCCTTCCACAGTTCAGGATCCTAGTCAGGGAATGGTGCCTCCCCATAAAGGACACTTCTTCCCACCTCAATTAATGTTCTTCTTATCTCAATATCATCAGGATAATCCCCCACCAGCATGTCCAGCAGCCCATCTCCCCAGTGATCCTTCTGTCAAGCTGACAATTAACACTGACCACTGCAGCACCTGGGACCATAAACCACTAAGTTGAGGTGATTAGTTCAATGCAGAAGGCTATTAGTAGAAGGCTATTAGAATGCCTGATTTGCTTATAATTTCCCATGCTGTACAGAAATATTTCTCAAACTAATAAATAAAAAGTCAAGTGTCAACATCATACTTAAATACATATTAATACATACACATACACATACACACACACACACACACACACGCACACACACAGGACACAGGTATATGGGGGTAACTCATGACTTTTTTATTTAAAACAGAATCTGTCATCTAGTGATACTTAAAAACAAAAAAACTACAGGAGTTCCTCAATTTAAAATAACCTTCTTAATCCAAAGTACTACCGATTAATGGCCCTAAACAATTAGCCCTAAGCAACTTCCAAATAAGCAAACAAGAAGAAAAAAGTAAAAAGGAAGAGGAGGAAAAGGAAAACAGGAGCCAAAAGTAAAAAGTAAAAATAATCGTGAATATGTTTCACAGCAGTCTAGAAATCAACCAAAGGCTTATAGTAATCTGGGGTAGGTTTTCAGGAAAATTGAACGAATCTTGGGCCAAGCAAGGAGATTTAGAACATAGCACTTTTCCCGTTCATAATTCCCTCTCCACTTTACATAGCAGTACAAGTTGAATTATCCCTAAACCCAAATACAAAATATAAAATCTTTTGAGTGCTGACATGGCACCACAAGCGGAAAATTCCACAGCTGACTTCATGTGACAGGACACACATAGTCCAAATGAAGCAAAGTTAAGAACAATGGCTACAATTACTTTCAGACCATACACAGACAGACAGACAGAGACCATACATGAAACAGTGAATGTCATGCTTAGGCTTGAGTCTCATCCTCAAGATATCTCATTTGTATATACAATCCCAGAATCTAAAAAATGATGGGGAACACTACAATCAAAGAACTACCACCATCTGCCCTGTCTGCTCTTCCCCCAAATCCCTCAGAAAGGCTTGCATTTCTTTGCCCAGACTCAAGTCTGCCAGCTGAGAGCAGCCTCTGCCCTGAGTCATTTTACACTGCAGCTGCTGAGACAATTGTTAATGAAAAAAAAAAAAAAATTAAAACAAACTAAAAGAGAAAACTTGGAAGACAGATGATTAGGGAAACTTGGAAGACAGATGATTAGGGACTGAATGCTTGAATTCCCTCAAAATTCTTCTGTTGAAGTTCTGTTATTTGGAAATTGGACCCACAAGGAAGTGATTAAATGAAATGAGGCCCTACTCCAACAGAATTAGTGTCCTTCTAAGGGGGGACTTCAGAGACCTTGTTTGCTCCCCACACACATGCATCAAGGAAAGGTCATGTGAGGACATAGGAAACCAATAAGCACTCCCTTATTCTAGGATATTCAGTTTAAGAAAAAAAAAGGATTTGTTGTTTAAGCCATTCAGCCTATGCACTTTGCTTTGGTAGCCTGAGCAGACCAGCACTGAAGTGTGAAGGAGGTTCCAGAAGAGTTCTAATATATCCCTGTGACGATAACTACACATACAGAGAGCTGTACTATACCTAAGAAGCTTCTGAAGCTCTTGACTCTTACTTTAAAACCTTAAGTTCAAGCTCTGTACAAGAAGGAAGGGAGACACAGCTGTGAACTGCCTGTCAAAACTTTGATGACATGTTCCCAGCACATGCAGAGAATCTCTTGATAAAAGCTTAAAGATTTATTGGTTCTAAATACATTAAGAGAAATACAACGCTTACATCACTAACCCAATCAAGCAGCTTCAGTGATTAAACACGACAAAAAACAGAATTTATAGGATTGGTTCAGAAAAGTCACTATACAAATAACAAAAACCTTATGCATGGAGGACATTTGATTTCTAGAATTGCCACACTATAAATACTGAAATGTTCAGTTTCCAACAAAAAAAAAATGTAAAAGAGGCAGAACTGCATAGAAAGTTGCAGATACAAGTATAATCCCTCTATAAGAAAAACAGCCAAGAGAAACCATCCCTAAAGAACTCAAGATTTTGAACTTATTAGATATATTAACTACTTTAAATATGTACAAAAATCTAAAGCAAACAATGTTTTCCAAAAAATGAAACAATTATCTAATAGGAATAGAAATTTTTAAAAAATGATGCCTTCTTCTGACCTCTGCAGACATTGCATGACACGGGTGCATTTACATACCTGTAGACAATATACTCATACACATAAAATAAAAATACTTTAAAAGAAAATACAAAGAGTCCAAAATGCTCTTAAAAGAGAATATAGTGTGAGGGATCAAATCTTTCACCCTCAATCAAAGCAATAGAAATCAAGCATGGCGGCACTGGTAAAGGTGACATGCAGATGAAGGCATGGAACAGACAGGCCAGAAACAAACCCTTACACTAACACCTGATTCCCGACAAAAGCACCCAAACCATTCAATGGAGAAATAAGTCTTTTCAGCAAATGGTGCTAGAATAATCAGACATACACATGTAAAGAAGGAAGCTAGACCCTTGTCTCATAACACTATAAAAGTTAATAATCACTCAATTACAGGAGATGTCACAGGGGTAAGGGGTGGGAAAAATAAGGAAACGATGATCCAACTGTACAAACTTCAGGCTATAAGATCAGCAAGTAAGTTCTAGGGACTGAATATGCTGCATGGTGACTAGTGTTTAAAAACTCTTACACTAACACCTGATAATCTGAAATGTGCTGAGAGAGAGTCTAGCCTTCACATCCCAGCAAAAAACATAATGACATAAAATGCATATGCTGGTTAGCTCAATTGTTGAATCACTTCAGTGTAATGTATACCAAACATCTTATGTTTGTATAGCTTGAATACAAATGCCAATTATAACTTAAAGCAGGGAAAATGGACACAAAATGAAAAGACCTAAATATGAGAGACAGAACTATAAAACAAGGAGGAAAACAGGGATGGAGACTTGCCATAACTAAGATTTTCAATGATTCATTTTTGTTAATTTTTTATTTATTATTTTTATTTTATGTGTATGCATGTATTGCCTGCATGTAGGTAAGTGCACCCATGTCGTGCAATGCCTGCGGAGGTCAGAAGAGGCTGTCAGAGACCCTGGGACTGGAGTTACACAGTTGTTAGCTGCCATATGGGTGCTGGGATTCGAACCCTGGTATTCTGCAAGAGCAACCAGTGTTCTTAACTGCTGAGCCATTTCTCCAGACCCCTCAGTGATTCTTATAACACCAAAAGATGAATAAGATAGGTAATGTGGATGTCAATAACATTTTAAAAAATGTTTCAAAAGGCACTATCAAGAAAACGAAAACACAGCCCACAAAACAGGAGGAAAATCAAGAATCTTAAGGGACTAGTATCCAAAGTATATAATGTCTTGTTAAAACAAAAAAATAATTTAATTAAAAATGGCTCAAGCATTTAAATTTGTTTCAAAGAAGATACACAAATACATAAAGCACGTAAAAGTTGTTCAACATTGAGGAATGCTAACTAAAGCCATGTCATACTGTGTCACATTCACTTAGGGTGGTTATAGTGGAAAAGATAGACATTAGCAAGTATGGGCAAGGATGTGGAGGAGAAACCAGAACCTTTACACATGGCTGATGAGAAGATTAAAGTGACACAATAAGTTTGTAGAGTTTGGCAGGTCTTAAAAAGCTAAGTGGGAGTTACCATATGACCCAGGGTTTCTACTCTAAGGTACATGCTTAAGGGAAATGAAAACCCAGGCCTGCATAAAAATTTGTGCATGACTTCATAGAAGCAATGTTCATAATAATAAAGACAAGAACACAAAAACCAAGTGTTCGTCAGCTTACAAGTGGGTAAATAGAAGACGGACATCTTTATAATAGTGAATACTTGTTAACAGGTCATAATGAAGCGCAGGTACATTCATGCTGCAACACAAATGGCCTTGAAAACCTGGTGTTAGGAAGTTAGACACTACCCCAGAATGTTCCATCTTCTGTACATGAGATAGCCAGAGTAGACAAATCCACAGAGATGGAAAGCAGATCAGAGATTACTGGGGCCTAGGGATGAGGGAGGCTGGGAAAGTGTCTGTTACTGAATATATGTTTTCTTTGAGAGTAATGAAAATACAGTAAAATTTGAAAAAATGAAAACTGCACTATTTGTATATGTTAACAAAATGACTTAAATATTTTAGAAGTGTGCAATTTATGTGATGCTTTAACAACTGACCATAATTCCAGTTCCAGGGGATCTGATACCTTCTTCTGACCTCCACAGGCACTGAACAATCTGGGTGTACCTATACTCAGGCAGGCAATACACTCATACTCATAAAATAAAAACAGCAAATTTTACAAAAGAAAAAAAATCAAGAAAAATAGTCTCAGCTATACACTCAAGAGTATAAACCTTCAGAAACATTGAACCCCGTTTCCCTAACAAAGACCACCCAGATTTCTTCATATGGATTCACATGCTACTTTCTCATAAAGACCCACCTTCTTTTTAGAGAATTACTCTGCTTAATTATATTTGTTTTCTTACACAGTTTTATTCTCCACTAGATTGTTTCCTTTTTATTTTTTATCTGTTCAGACTGTATGTATGTTAAGCGCACCCTTGGGTACAGAGTCCACAGAGGCCAGAAGAAGGTATCGGATCCCTTGGTACTGGAGTTAAGGATGGCTGTTAGCAGCCATGTGGGTGCCAGGAACAGAAGCCTGGTCTTCTGCAAGAGGAGTCAATGCTCATATCTGCTAAGTCATCTCTCCAGTCCCCAGTTATAACTTTCTTGAAAACAGTCTTCACTTTTTTTTACTCCTCAATGTAGTGTATTGGGAATAAAAATCTAACAGTGTAATGAATACCACAGAAGACTCAGAGCAACTCCAATAATTCTAGGCACTAGTAGCTAAAACAGTATTTTGCTTGATAAAGCATATACACTTACTCCCTTCATGAATTTTCTTCAGTTATTAACCCATTTTTTCCACTTCTGATATATTGTTAAAAGGGAGAAGATACAAAGGGAATTTGTCAAAAACTATATGCCCTGTTGCCAATTCATTTATCTCAACCACAGAAGTATCCAGAGAGAAAGAACTTCTAGAGCTAATTTCAGCCACATACAATTATTAAATGAAGGGGCAAAGAAAACATTCTTCTTCTACTTATTACTCATAACCATCTCTTTCACTCATTTATGTATTTTAAATGAAGCCTCTAAAGACAGTTCATTCCAAGTAGAAACTAAGATTCACATTAATTTTGTCACCATTCTATTATATCTAAAACAGCTGAAGTTTCCTCGCTAGTACCTTTTATCAGCAGAGCTTCATCAGTGTAGAGGTAGTCCAAAATCACTCTCAGGACCTCAGAACGTACTGGCATTTCCAGAGCGGCACCACTCGAAGCCTAATGGACAGAAGAAGGTAAAGTGAAATCATTCACCGGAAACAAGAGAACACTAGCATATTCTAATTGAGGTTACTGATACAAACATTTTTTACAGGACATTACCTCAAAGACATTTGAACATAAAATTTATAAAACATAAGTCTAAAATGAGACATTGAATTTTAAAATATAACATTAAAAAAAGAACACAGAAAAATTCAGAAAACAAGACATATATACTCCTAATGCATGCCTAAATAATGTGAAATTTTGAGTTTTAAGCAGCTTCATACCAACAATTCTGACTTCCAAGTGTTGGTATCTTCTAGCAGGCATAAACAGAAATAAAAGTTCAACAAAAAAAGAAATGCAGCTCTAACCTAAAGTACCAAGTTCAGTTCTTAATTTCTTTATGCGTAATTTCCCCAACACAGAAAGAAGTACATGTGAACTTTCTACATAAAGCTTACCTCAATCCACGAGCTACTCAGCATACTATGAAAATACTCTGGAATGAAAGGAGTGCACTGCAGTCAGAACACTGAGACAACACTGAAGCAAACACTCGGCAGCAAAGCAAACCTGTACCTACCAAGTCTAGCACAAAGGACACATTTATGACAAGGATATTCCTTTCCATCCACTGATTTCATGATAACATCACACAGAAATGAACTGGAAAAAAGAGGGTCAAATCAACAAAGATTGGTTTCTTTGCATACTTCAATATACACACACACATACATGTAATCAATATATACATGCGTATCTTAAAGGATTTAGCTTAACTTTAGATTTTTCTTAGTTAAAAGGTAGAAAGAATAAAACTATTCATGGATATACACGCAAACAATGTAGCTCATCTCTCTATCTCAGGGGAGAAAATAATGATCAAATAATAAAAAACATTCGAAAAGGAAACTGAATATGAAACTCAAAAAAACCTTCCTTTGATTTTGCTTTTGAATTGCCAGCAAAGTATTAATGACAGTAAAGTGGCATTATATTTAAAGTTCTTTAATTCCCTACTTGAACATCCTACTCTATGTGAAGCGGTTTAGAAATTTCCACTTTCTCTTCTTTCAAAACTTTCTATCTAGGAAGTAATTAGCACAAAATGTTTAAGAACATATTTAGCATATTTATTTCTGAAAACAGTATACTAAACAAAATCGTGGTAGTAGTAACGAAAAAGCATAAGTACTCTGGTTGTGGAAGGGAGAGGGGACTATACAAAATCCTACTTATAAAAAGATGGTAAATTTGGGGGGGCTGGAGAGATGGCTCAGCAGTTAAGAGCACTGACTGCTCTTACAGAGGACCCAGGTTCAATTCTCAGCACCTAAACAGTACCTAACAACAACGATGATCCCAACTTCAGTTCCAGATGATACAATGCCCTCTTTTGACCTCCAAAGGCATTGCACAACATGGGTACACTTTCATACTTCCAGGCAATACACTCATACACATAAAAAAAAACAACAGATAAGATATTTTTTAAAAGATAGTAAATTCAGCAAGGTGTGATAGCAAAAAGACCGAAAAAAAAAAAAAAAAGATAGTAAATTCAAGTAAGAAAACACAAAAAAATTAAAAACCCCTCCCTTCATTTGAATAGAATCAGAAAGAATGAGTTCCTTCAGTGATCTGTTGAGCAGTTAATGTTTTTGTCTATTAGGTCAACAGCTCCCTCAATATTCCAAGAAATGAAGACTGTATACACATCCTGTCCATAGGCATGGAGAAGAACTCCACTTCACACTGTTCATTCAAATCTAAGTAAGAAATGCTGGTCTTCATTCACTAACTTACCATTTTTTTTGACTTAGCTTCAATTTATTGCCAGTTTTCTTTGCAATAACATTAATTTTTTCATTTTCAAATCTGACTCCATCTAACCTATTAAGGAAAAAACATAAATTAACAACGGGGAGATATATTCCTCTCCCAAGAAAAATACACAAGAACAAAAATCCAACAAACAAAACTAATAAAATGGTTAACATTATCGTTGGCAAATCACAAATCAAAGCTGTAACTCAAAGCCTTTCAGTATTTTCAAAGAGGAAACATGGGCCACGTCTCTCCCTGCTTCAGCCCTACAACAAAAGCTGTACCACCACAGTAATACAGCTCCCTTACAAAAGAGGCTATCAAAGCTGATTTATAATGTGACAGATGCTGTAAGGCACTTTACAGATGCTACATGACAACCCTTTCCCAACAATATGATTCACCTACCATTTTACACTGATAAACTGAAGTCCAGAGAAATTTCCCCTAGCAAGTATTAGTAGAGCTAAGTGGCATACACTGTATAGGTCTAACACCAAAGATCTTCCTAGCACGCAATACCACTTGGCACTCCAAATCCCCGTTATACACTCGCACCACAGCACTGAATCCACCAACACCTTTCCTCTCCTTTAACATTTAAATGAGGAAGTCCTCTGGTGATACATCTACCGAGAAAGAGCAGTGAGAGAAGAGATACAGCCCTGTGCAGCCCCAGGGAGAAATAACAAGAGAGATGGGAGTGGCAAGAACAGGAAGGGCCAGTGAGAAGGAAGGCTGGGTGAGAGCCCTCCGGGAACACCGCCAAGGAAATCATACCTGCCACTCAGATTACTGAGGCCAAATTTCTTTGCAACATTTTGCAACATCTTGACAGGATCATCTTCACTAGCACTTCTTCCCTTTTTAGAAGATTTGGGTTTGCCTTTCTGCTTTTCACTAACTGTGTGAGCTTGGCTACTTTTGTAGACCTCAAACGCCGACTTCTGGGTCTCATCCTCAGGGCAATTCATCGTATTCATAAGAGAATTCAGGGAGCCCTGATATTCTTCTGACTTTTTGTTTATGAATATCCTTGGCTTAAAACCATGAGTTAAAAAGTCACAAGTATCTGTATACATGAATTGTAAAAGGCATTCAAACAAATCAGGATGAACCTTCTCCACCACAAAGAGATGGCACCCTGCAGAATCTTCCTCTTTCCGGTACACATCTGAGACTTCCAAGGGAGTACCATCTGAAAGAAACAATTTCTGGAAAAAGTCAGAACGCACAGCCAAAACATATTTATGAGCAGGGAAGGTTCTAGTGCCAACTTGAAATGTCACATCGTGAATGTTGTCCATTTCATCTGTCTCCCTCAAGAGTTTGCCAAATTCTTCAAAAAAGGATGATGAAGACACAGCTGGAATTTCATAAAGGCTAGAAATGAAACAAAGACAATTATTACTTTGAAGAAAATGAGGAAAAGGACCCAAGACGATTAATTCCCTTGAAAATGTAATGTTTTGCATAAACTTAGAAACTTTCAAATTTGGCATTTTCTAAAATTCGAAAGTATCACAAAAAAAGCTTAAATCAGTATGTCAACCTTAAATATTTTTCCTTCTCATATAACTTTATACAACATAACTAAAAACAATAAAAAATGAGTAAAGTTCCCAAATCTTTCTTCTTTTACATAACTTACTGTACAAGTGAAGAAAAGCCAAAAACTAAGAAAATACTCCAGGTCACAAATCAAAGAACAAGTCAAACACTTAAGAGAAAACATGTACAATTAGTCTACAAGCCTGATTCCCTCAGTACTGTACAAGTGCCATCACACCCTCTCACTATACAGTCACCCAACCAAGAGGGCAGATGTTCTTGGTTGGCCTTGGCCTGAGGGATGTCCTAGCATGATACTTCCCTGCTAAAACTGGGGGCCCTGGAAACCAGAATCTGGTCACTCTTCCCCTTCCACAGTGCCACTGATGTTAATCTCTCTCTATTGATGTGACGTGAACATTTTCACTGGGATTCTATCTTACATGTGACCACATCACTCTTCTTTTGTCAGTTCTTATCACATTCATGGGTGAGAGATTTTTGCAAACTACCTAAGAAATATTTATAATACACTTTCCAGAATCTGAGAACCTCACATATACTATACAGCACTAAAGACAGACTCTGTATAGACATGGCCATGTATCCTCAGTGTTTGCAGTACCAATTTATAAATGAAAGGGAGCACATATCAGTCCCAGTATAACAAATAATCCCTATTATTTCCCACATAACATGTTCATTTATTTAAGGTCTCTACAGATCTTGGTAATACCTCCTCAAACAAATCTGCATCAGGAGCTACTGAAGACAAAAGAAAATCTAATGATTATTCCTTCTAAAAATAAAATATATCAAAGACAATAATACCTTGTTTTAGGGTCTGACTGTAGGATTGCAAAGTTGCATCCACTTGGGTCTGTGCTGACACTAACAGCTCTATGGGCAAAAGTAAGTTTCTCTAGTCGAATTCTTTCATACACACTATTTGTATCAGAGACACAAGACACATCTGATGAGGAATGATGTAGGTTTGGTAAAATGTCTGCTAAAAAGAAAACAAATAAGCTGTCATTAATCAAGGCTTTACTGAAATTGTTAAAGAGATTTAGGAGTGACTGAAATAAAATATGATGTAAAAATACAGAAGTATTCTTTCATACACATTAAATCCTTTGACGAACTTAGGTCCCCTCCATCTTCAACACAATATTATACTATGTACTTGTTACACTGCACAGAGAACTTTCAGTGTTAGCCATGATTTCATCTCCCAACAAACACATCATCCACACTGCAAGCAGTGTTATCTTTCAAAAAGGAAAACCTATACATGTTAGCTTTGTATAAATTCAGTGTCTTCATGAACTGCCTGCACATTTGATCCCTCCCTCCTTTCTCCTGCACAGACTCAGCAAACACCTGAATGACCCTACCACGTGCTACCATGATCACCAGTATGAAGCAGCAATCGGTAGGACAGACATGTCTGACCCTCGTTAAGTGTAATCTAGCAGAGAAAACAGACATTAAACAAATGACCGCGGAATTACAAATCAAATCCAGGCTAGGAAAGCAAAGTATATAATGCTTCCACGTAGACACAGCACGTACAAAGAAATGATTCTGGCTGTAGCACAAACTTTCACAGTAAAGACTCTTTATTAATTTAAGTTCACAGAAACAAAATAAAAGATAAAAGGTTGAGACTGCAGCAATCAATCAGGAGGGAAAAAGGAAAGATTTCAAAATAATTTAAAACACGCCTTTAATCCCAGCAACCTCTGTGAGTTCAAGGCCAGCCTGGTCTACATATTGAGTTCCAGATCAGCTGGGACTACAGGTAGACCCTGTTGCAAAAAGACCAAAAAAAAAAAAGACAAGAGTAACAAAACTTGGTGACTGATTAGAGGTAAGAGAGATGGGAGCCCACCCATTAGGACAGACACCAAAAGCAGCTGTGGGAGAATGAGGTGGTAAATTCTGTTTCGGATCACTAAAATAAGACAAATGTTCTACAGACTTCCAGACTTTACAAGACAAACCTGTGCTATGGTTACTCTCTAAAATTCAGTCTAGTTCAGTCTTATGACTTACTAAATTTCCTCTAACATTCAGTCATTCCAATCTCTGTGCTCTTAAGAAACCTTTGTGGATAGTACTATCTAATTCAGTGATACGCTTCAAATATTTAAAAACATCTCTATTGTTCTACACATGTGAGTGCCTGGGAACGGGTTCACTTATATATTTTTCTATCAGTAAAGCACTGGCACACAGTAAATATATATATCTTACATGGTTAAAGACATCAATCATGTGTAGAGAAATAAAACACAACGAATCAATAAATTATGTGAAATTAATCATTTAGGACTTTATAATTTGAAGACTACATCTCTAATTTTCAGAGTAATCATAAATGATCTTAATGTATATTTTAAGAATTTAACAGCTAACTTACTCATGCAAAAGATGAAGAACTACAATGTGCCAGGAAATAAGCCAAATGTTAAAGACACAGGAACACCCAGCCTCCTGCCATCAATGATCTTATAGTCAACAGCAGACAGGCATTAAACTATCACAAAGATAAATGCATAAAAGCCCAGAGGGTAAACCAAGCAATGACTGCCAAATTAAAGGCTAACTGAAAAGTACTCTTATGCGCTGTCACACAGACTGACCTTTCTTTTCAGAATTCTTTCTTTTTCCTTCAAACCATTTCCCTTTAAATCCTTCCCCATCCTGGGTGACAAACAGAACTTCATTTCTATTTAAAGCAATATCAGAAATTAACACCTGGCGAGGATAGGCCCATCGGCATTGCTTCAGAGAACTGTGGACTGATCTCCAGCAAAATACCTGAAATGACCAAATGACAGCACTGAACAAGCAAAATCTAAAGAAAATATAACACTGTCAGAATAAAAGCTCTAGAATGTTTCATTGATTATTCTTCCATGAAAAAAAAAAAAGATACTACAAAAGTCAGTATGATTTCTAAGATCTATATAAGGAAACATGAAATACTGAAATTCATTCTAACAGCATTCTCCCTAAGGAGATGTAATTTTCAGTATGACTTGCTAAAGACAAATAGTTCTGCTAGATTATTGTAGAAAATTAAAATGTTATAGCTAAAACTTAAATGTCAGTTTCTTGTAATGATCTATTTATCAAAAGATTATAAATTACCAAAATAAATCCAACTTTACTCTTAAAAGATCTCTTTTGAGGGTTAAAAACACATTCAATTTTATGTCTTACAGGGCTTATACTGAGTTCAATATTGTAGAACTGTATTGATTCAACAGCGAACCTAGAAATTTCATAGCCACTTTTGAAGGAGCTGTGTCTTTGCTCTGGAAACTGTTATTGGGCATGTTAAAGCTGTAATGATATGCTTCTTCTAAAAAAAAATAAAAAAATAATATTAAAAAAATGTAGGAAACAACATATCTTGAAATGGAGATCTTCTTTAAAGGGTAAAAACTCATTCAATTTTATATCTTACAGGGCTTATACTGAGTTCAATATTGCATAACTGTATTAATTCACCTGTGAACCTAGAGATTTATAGCTACTTGTGAAAGAGATGCGCTCCTGCTCTGGAGTGTGTTACTGAATATGTTAAAGCTCT